GCTTCCCCTCAGAAAAGAGAAAGTGTCTCTGAGATAAAATGAGCCAAACAGATATGAGGAATGTTTTATTCCTTCACAGCATGTTTACTATGGATAAGAAAATGGATGGAGAAATTTTAAGACATGCAAAACCTGGCAGAAAGGGAGTGGATCGTAGATGGCTTGTTGTAAGGAATTCTTGTTTGTTAAAAGAAGCAAAATTGGCTGTGTGTAAGAGCAAGAGAGTTGGAAATGTCAGGAGAAACATAAAAGTAAGTTGAATGCAGTGGGAATGGGGTACTTAAGAAGTGTGTGTGGTAAAACAAAAAGAGATAGGGTCAAGAATGAATGGGTGCAGAATGAAGGTGAACACAAAAGTGAGTGATCAGTGTGAAAGGAGTATGTTGATATGGTTTGGCCATATAGAAAGAATGAATGAGAACTGAATTGCAAAACAAATATATAAAGGAGGAGTGAATGGGTCAAGAGGAAGGAGAATCAGAATTGTGGCTGGATGGAGTTGGTGAGATCTTCAACAGGAGAGAAACTTGAAGAATAGAAGGCAATGTTTAAAGTGTACAGAATGAAATCAAGGATGGGATGGTTTGCAAAGATAAGAAAGCATGGAGAGGGGGAATTAATGTTCCTATAAATTAGATTTAACTGTATTTCCTTTCCTTTTTCTTATCTCATGCCTTTCATTCCCTTTGCTTACTATTTATTATTCCCTCTCTGTGTTTTGGATTAAGTTACTTATCCAAAAAAGGGAATTGCATGATAGATAGGTATATATGAATGTAAATTGACATTTGCTGGACTGAATAAATTGGGTACCCTTGCTTGATTTGAACCAATGTGAAGCACTTGCCATAGGCAGCAGATTCTGGGGAAGGGAGAACACACCATTTTCCCATCTGCAACTTTCATCTCTTGTAACTGAATGCAAAATGCATATTGATGTAACAATGGGTCTCTCTCTCTCTTTTATTCCTATCCTGCAATAACATTGGATTTCACTGGGATATAGTGAACTATCTGGAGAAATCATACTTAAGGAACAAAACACAGTTGCAAGAACCTGCTTGTACAGACCCATCAAAGGAAAAGATACTGAGGTCATATTTGCAAAACCCAAGGGAATGGTGCTTAATTCTGACTCAGAGGATAAGCCCCCCTTCTACCTAAAGATAGAATAGAATAGAATAGAATAGAATAGAATAGAATAGAATAGAATAGAATAGAATAGAATAGAATAGAATAGAATAGAATAGAATAGAACCCTTCTATATAAAGATACAAAGAGTGGGTAGCTGGAATGCTAGACTGCAAACTCTTCTAAGAGTAACACTGACTTATAAACTATTACTCATGGGAAGTCCATCTGATTGGTTAACCATAAAGCTGAGGTGGCCAATTTTTGGAAGCTAGCTGCAGGAGTTTAAAAAATGGCAGCTGAAGGCTACAGTGTGTGGGATTATAATACAATGACATCATATTGTATGAGTAGGCAGGAATGGGGTTTTTGCATGTTTGGGTGGGTGATGATTTTAACTTTTTTTTCAGCTATGTTAAATCTACTTAAAGACTTAATTTTTTGTTCCTTTTGAAAACAGAGGGAAAATATACCACTGTGAATTAGCAGTTTGCCATCAAATGTAATGGTCCAACTTCTGTGAATTCTAGAAGGTGCCAAAAGGAAACTCAAGGGCCATATGCATTCTGGAGGACACATGTTGTCCACCCTATTCATAAGTCAAGCAGCTGAGATTCTACAGGCAAAAGCATGAAAGACTTCCATTTGCAGCAGATTAGCATTGGAACAAAGTTAAACAAAGTCTAGCTAAATCAACATTTACATTTTGGTTATCCAGCCCTGGATCCCTGGACCACTTCCTGCTTGTATTTTTGCCTCTTAATTCATCAAGCAATAAACTCCTGAGCTACCTGTGCTTACCATTCATAAACAGTAGATACTGCCTCTAAGTTAGCTGGTTTATCCAAACTGTAGACCATAATGAGGTTTATGTCAATATGACTTTATAAATTACCCTATGATTAAAGTCACCATAAGAAGCATCCTATGCGGAAAAACTGTGCATTGATCCAGAAAGCAGCTTTGGCACAGAAAATACAGGAGTGGTTCATTATAAAGAGCCAAAAGTTTAATCTCACTCTACAAGCACTAGAAAGAGGGGGTTTTTTCCTTGCGGAAGGAGAAATATAAATTTGGGTGCTGTCGTTCACTCATTCTTTTCATATAAGGGGAAGAAAATCTTTTATTTGGAGCTTGACACCTTCATAGCCCCTACCTTCCAAGCCCACATTGTAGGAGGGAAGAACACTGTTGAATCAAGAGACTGGAGTTACCAATTTTTGGAGACAACAGGAATTCCCAGTGGGTTGCTATGTGGTGAACAGTGTAAATCGAGTAATCTCCTCTGGCCAGGTCTGGCTGGGGTGATAGAGTTATAGAGATAAAAAGACCATTTAGGTCACCTAAACAGTGCAGGAATCCAAATTAAACTACCTCCATCAGATTGTTACCTAGCTTCTACTTAAAGATGCTGGTGAAGGGAACCTACCACTTCTCTAGGTAACTGGTACTACTGTTGAAGTAATGCTCCATTAGAACATATTCCTAACATTTAACCCGAATTTCCCTTTCTGAAACCTAAGGCCATTATTCTGTGTTGTGTATTCTGGGAAGGGTCTTCTGTATGTTACCCAGAAGTGCTATTATCACCTTTTCTCCATGCTTGAACTTACCCAATTCCATCAATCTTCAGTTTCTGTGAGTAGTCAATCTTAAAATAAGATGCCTTGATCTGGTCACAGAACTCAAAGAGGAGTTTGACTAATGCAGAATATAGATTATTCAATAACACCATGTGGATCTTGGAGTGAGGCCTGAAGCTGGCATGGCAGGACAGTCATCAAAACATGGTGCAGATGCCTTCCACATCCAAGGTTGAGAAACAAGCAGCAAAAAATCCATTCCCACATATTAAATAAGCATTAGATTTAACCATGGGGCTGTTATTGAGGGCTTAACTGCTTGATTTTGTAGGAGCTGATCTTCTTCATTATTAGGTTTTCTAGTATCTGCAGTAAAGCAACATATCTATCCCAGCAGCCTTGTCCTTGATTCCTCTGTTGTTAGCCCCAGAGTGCTGGTTCAGTTTCTAGAGACAGATTTACTGCCATGCCCTGAGTGAAGCTCCATTATGCATAATACAGGTAGTCCTTGCTTAACGACCATTTGTTCAGCAACCGTTCAAAGTTACGACAGTGCTGAATGAAGGGACTCACAACCTGTACCCAAAGTTACGGTGATCTGGGCCTGTGGCAATTGGTTGCCAAGTGCCCTGCAATCATGTGATAGCCATTTGCAATCTTTCCTGCTGCCTGCCGGGAAAGTCAGTGGGGAAGCTGGCCGGGAAGGTTGCAAGCGGCTGCTGCCTGCGAAGAGGACTCCCTCTTGTCTCCGAGGACTGGCTGAAAAAGCTCCATGTCCAAATCCAGACAGGATTTTGGCACAGGGCATTTTCAGGCAGTCCCCAAAGCTCCATCCGCTAAACACCCATGCATGTGGGGGCATTTAGTGCACAGAGCTTTGGGGCCTGCCTGCAACAGCTTTGTCCCGAAAATCCAAGCAGGATTTTAAACCACAGAGAATGGGGGAGGGAACAGGTGGGAGAGGGAGTGAGGGGGTGCATGGGAGGGTCAAGTCAGGATGTGATGCAAGTTGGGTGCGTGAGGGCCCCCGGAACTCCACCAGCTGTTTTTTCCCTGTTGGGGAAACCAATAGGAATTTTGGCTTGGGGGGCACAGTACTCGACGGC